ACATTTCCGCACATTGATCTGTTTAAAGTCTCGCTACACGATCAGGCGGATTACAATCTAGGGTAGACAAGGCGCCGATCAATGTTGTTCTGGATGTCTTGTATTTCAAGTTACGCCCCAGCTAATTCCTATATATCGATCGCGATGAAAAGTTGCACCTCCAACTTTGAAGTGAAACGCATAAACCATACAAGTTTAAGTTCATGCAATTACATAGTCTTTAGTCAGCTTGATTACTATCATAAATCCGTCATAATATACTGGGGCTGAGATCGGCTATGCAACTGAAAAGCTTTATTATAGCTAAACAAAGATTTTTTTTTCAATCAGCGGATCAGCGCATAATGTAAATTTTAAAAGAGAAATCTTGCATAATTAATTTAAATTAATTATTTATGAAATAAAGAATTTTTTTACATAAGTTTTATTTGCTGAATTTTCAGTGCTCCACAGCTGAACTAAAATTCTCTGACATTCGAGATGAAAGTGCAAACTGATCTTGACGTGGTTCCGTCCACAAAGCAGCTGAGGCGAAATTTTCACGCCCTATAGAGGCAGCAGAGGTGATTTTAATGAAAGCATGCTGGAGAGCCATAGTAGGAATCAAAATCATTCGAGCCGTGTGAACTTGAGCACAAAAGAATAACGTCCCCTTGTCGCACCCCCGCGTGGCCCAACCTTTCATTCGCGAGTGCAATAATCATCGGCTGCGAAGAATTAGTATGTTACTCTGTTCGGCTGATGGGGCTGGCGAGAGGCGAAAATCATTAAAAGCGAAGAAGAGCCGCGTGTGCCAGAACAGAAGTAGTGTCGCGCCTATTTTATTTTGTTGTTTCGAAAACACATTTGGCGGATTACGCGCAGTTAAGATGAGAGAGGGAGATGCACGTTGTGATTGAAAAGGTGCTCTCGACGCCTTTTCAATTTCATCAAAGGCAACGTCTCCCTTTCTTCTGCCGCTTTCATCTGAGCCGCCGCCGCCGCGTGAGTGCGGATTATGATTATTTATCCACCAAGAGCTAAAGTAGGAGAAAAAGATAAAGGAAAGAGAAAATATTCTGCACTAGCAGGACTTCTTTCTCTGCAAATAGTTTTTATTTATACAAATTACAATTAATTAACTTTTATTAGAATATATGGAAAACTTCTCCTGAAAAAATTTAAATGAATAAATAAATCACAGGGCTTTAAATTTAGATAATTAGAAGCAATTTTTAGTCCGTTGGGTGGCATTAATGCTTGTAAATGAAATCATAGAACATAATTAACAATTCAGTTTTGGAAAAAAAATACTTGTACCCATATTTTAAAACTGAAAAGTCCTTTCAGGTGGAATTATGAATTACTAAATTAGCTGCCTGACCTGTTTTCATATCTATAGCGACGACTCTTACAATTAAGAATGACCAGTCTTTTATTATTATTTTTATATTCTATCGGAAATCATTCAATTAAATCACTTTGTTCAGGTCATGATTAGCAGAGTTTCCATTTTAGAAGGAAATAGCTAAAGATATGATCAATAGTCTCATTAGCTGCGCTGCTTTCAATACAATGAAAGCTGTGCCATATTGCATCTGTGCGGTTGCCGATTGCCAATTAAGAAAAATAATCCCGGCTACTTCTCACTCGACTCAAGCTCGACTTCATTTTTACACAATACCTCACTCCTTATGCCCGAGACGCAAATTATCTCCGTCTCGCGATCTGCATTATAAATCAGTATGCAAATCAAGTCAATTTTCGAACTAATTATAAGAGTTTTAATTTATATGAAATGCGCGCTACTGCTTCGCGTTCCGTGTTTGCTGATTGAATTCCGCAGGCATCTCTCGCTCGTTGCAGCGAACGCGATTAATGATTCAATTGAAACTAACACAACTCTGGGCTGATTTATGTAAGTAAACACGGCGCGCAATTCCTCGATCAGACTAAAATTTATAATAAACTCTCTCGCTTCGTTCAGTGCAGTGGAAATAAAAAGGGAATAAACTTGCGCTGGATGGAAAACACAAAACATGGCTTGCGGTGCAATAAAAGCTGGCGTAGCCTAGTTCCTTCGTATTTGCTCTTGTTTATTTTACCATTATTGGTTTTTATTTGTTCCGCAGATGAGGTACACTTGGCTCGCTCGATCGTTTTTTTAACTAAGGGAACAACAGGGTCTTTATAGTTTGATTTAATTTATATTGATTTGTTCTTACGGTATATGTATATCAAGTACATTCCTGACCAAGTTTTTGGGGTTGGCAGAACTGTATATGCACTGGCCGGTGACTACCTGTATATTTTTAGCAGTTTTTGCTCTTGTTTATTAATTTGGATGGCTGTTGTGGGTGTTTCTTTCAGCTGATTGGCTGCTTCCTTACGCTTTTAGTGATCGTGCTACTTTGTTTTTGTGCTGCCTCAAGAAGTAGTTAATTTAAGTATCGGTGCTTTTTTTCTTTATTTTCTGTTGGTGAGTAATGCATAAATACGTTTTGAGTTCTTTTATTTTCATTTGGGAAATTTGTTTGTTTCAATTTTATTTTGGTGGGGTCAAAGTCTTTTCAATTTTCTAATGAATCTAAATTGCAAGAAAAAAATTTTTGGACATATTTAAAACGGGAGATAACAATATTTTTCAGTCGTACAATTTAAAGAACAACATATCAATATTCCTTTAATAGTGCGTTGTGGTGTTCCCTGTAGTTCTACCTTACAATGCAGTTGTCGAAGTGGAAAATAATTAACCTGCTCGGTGTTATTGGGAGGAATATGAGCCTTGTTGTGTCTCCAGTTGGAAGTAAACAGTGTCGCTCGCTCGCTCTCGCTCTGTCCACGACGATCCAATCAAATGAGACAACTCATGTTTAGCGGCTCGATAATCGAAATGAGATGCACACACACGCTATTTTGGGCTCGTTCAATCCCACGCTCGGATGCACGTGCTCTTTACTCGGCTCTCGTCCGCGCGCACAATTAAATTACACACGCCGGGCACTTTATTCTTTTTCGAGTTGGTCGTCGTTGTGTGTTTGTGCGCCGAGCAACAAGCGAATAAGTCAGCAGCCCACGACTGCTTTATTGACTTCTCAGGTTTCGATTTGCAACGGCCCAACACTCGTTTACCTTTTGCAATGGCTATTCCATCCAGTGTTGCAATTTTTGTGCATATTAATTTTTATTAACCAAAAATTTTTATGATCAAACTTTTGGACACATTTCTTGTCGATTCATTTGAAAAAAAAAATCATTGATTCCGTATAAGTAAAATATATCTTGCAGTTAAATATAAAAAAATATATATAATGGATTTAAAACAAATGCATTCTTTTATACTACCACTTCAAATAAAACTTTCATGTTTTACAATCAGACTCTGGTTGAAATATAAAATTTTTGAATTCTTAAATCTGATATTTCACTGTCTATAATTATTTGGATTTTTGCTAATTATTTTTAAATGGTCAAAAATGTTACCTTGAATCAACAATTAAGTTCAAAATTTGGCCATGCTATTAAAAAAGGAATGTGCTTGTTTCAGATTTTGCTAACACGCTTCCAGTAGGATAATCACTTTCAAAAATATGTCTCCAAAGCATTTCTGCTCCTTCTGTGGCTCGACTAAAAAAGGCTAAAATATGAGTGGCACTTGAGCAGGCGTCTCCTCTTGTTTGATCCACGAGTTATTTCATTACCTCCTTATACAGTCTTGAGCACGATAAAATGTTGCAGAGGAATTATCAAAGCAAAAAGCAGCAGATGCACGCATGGAACGTTTACTTTTTTATTTGGCTTATTTTCCGCTGCTAATTAAAACGACGAGAGGCGAAATTAAACAAGCCCGGCTTAGTTAGCCTTGGATTTGTGTGTATATAAATGTCGACATGAACCGAAAAAAAAAAACACCGAGTGGAGATAATACTGAGTACACATGCACACACTTGATTCATAAAATCCAGCGTCGTCAACAAGCTCTTCTGCGAATTCGGCGTGCAGTGTTAATGGATTCGAGCCGGTTCTTCTTCTACAAACGGCGCTCGGATGGAAATTTATTTTATATTTATGCACAATTAAATGGTGCAGCCGCGATGAAATAAGACCGCCGTAAACGTCACCTCTGCAACCCTTTTCGCGTTCAATTAAGACGTCTCAGGTATCAATTCTCACACTTTGCAGACCGAGTGTGAGCGACTCTTAAATTATATCGATGCCATAATTTTTTTGTTCATTAATGCCCCAGTTCACCTTCAGGTTGACACATCTTCGTCTACTTACCTCTTGGGCTTGTCTTTATTATACTAATTTGTGCGAAAGGAGCAGTTTAGGATTATACGTGTATTTTGAAAAGTTGCAAATTGATTTGATTTGGTAAAGTCTGGAAATTTTGTCGTTCTAAAGCTGGAGGACAAAGGAGTTCCTACTACAGCTTTTTCTTATTTTTTTTTTTTTAATTTATAATAATTTACATCAAATTAAAAATAGAAATATCAAAATTTTTTAAACTATAAATCGCAAATTTTAAATTAGTTTTTTCAATTATAAAATTTTTTTATATATTTTTTTCAAAATAAAATTATTATTCGAAAAATATTTGCCAATTGAATTAATTTTAGCTGTATTTATTAGTAAACAAACGATATATTTTGAACTGTTTTTTTACTTTTATAAATAATATATTGTAATGTGCAATCCAATAAGCTTACATTGATTTTAATAAATGATACCTTGTCGTGGAGTTGCATTATAAAAGTTTGGAATATACATATTATTGCAGAAGCGAGCCAAAACTAAAATAAAGAACTAATATAAAGGAAAAAAATAAATGTAAAATAATTATTTTCCTATAATTGCAGATCGTTGTCTTTTATTATAGGCTTGTGCGATAAACCTTGGAAAATTCACCTTTTTAAATTCCCGATTTGCTTTCATTTTGACAATATTTTTAAAGTAAAATAAATCGTTAAAAAAAAAGAAATCCAAATATCATTTAATTGATGACAATTTTCCAATTTCAGGTCACTCTGGGCCCTGAGCTGTCGCTGATGCAGCACCCGAAGGGCGGCCCTCGAGCCGCGGCGCTGGCGTCGGCCATGAGGAGCGGCTCGAGCCTCAACAGCGGCCGAGGAGACGCTGGTTCAGTCGTGCTCGACCCGGCCTCTCTGCTCGCAGGCATGCACGCCTCCTCGTACAAGTTGGGTCGCTACCCGGAGCACCACCACCTCGCCTACATGCCCCTCAGCGCAGGCCCCCAGGGGGCCGTCATGCAGGCCTCCGCCGCCGCCGCCTTCTTTGCCAGGTAGGACCCCCGAACTTTTCTTTTATTTGACCACGATCGTGAATGGGAGGCGGAACGAAAAAAAAACACGTGGAGTTAGACTGGACTACCTGTGGATATCGGCGATTTTGCCTCGTGTAGCCCAACCGAGTGATAATGTCCCGAGGGATAAACACAGCATTTCATTTTAACCAGGTCTTTTTATTTTATTTATTCTCACCTCATTTTAATTTCTTTTTCTCAAGAAATCAAGAGTTTTTATTCAATACGGGATTTTTATTTTTGTTTTAAATATTTATGTTATTGTAAGATGAGACATTGAGTTGACTTACAAATAACTTTCTAATCGCTGTTTTTAACTCGTGTGAGATTCGTTGTTCACAGTCAGCTGATCGGTTTGAAGTCGGATATGTTATGAGATGAGATTTCAAAGAGACGCACGCGTGAATGCATTATTTTTATTTCTCATTGTGAGAGAGTGTGAGATGCGGAAAGTTCGTTCACTTATGCAACGACAGCAATCAGATTGCAATTTGTGTCAGGCTTCACACAAGTAATTTAATTTTTATGCGGATGAACATTAAAACACAATCAACCTGACATGCGTCGGCATATTTGAGTAAAACAGCAGTACCAGCTGATTGACTCTTGTCCCAGTTATTAGTTGAAACCTTCGACTAGAATCATTAAATTGGATAATTAAAATTAATTGCAATGGACTGATGGAATGGGATTTACAGCGATTTACCAGCAATTTACTAATTCCTTGTATAAATTTTTGCAAAATAATTGGTTTTTATGGCATGACCAAAAGAACAAGACATTAATAAATTTAAATTTGGAAAATAATTAAGTGAATAAATTGGGTAAATTGGTTGCATAGTTATTATTTTTTTTCTATGGTAATTCTTTTTTCAATAAATTTTTACCAGATTTTAGTTTCTTCTCTGTTACTTTATAATTGTAATACCCACGTTTTATTGATTTTAGTTTCCATTTTATTCTAATCAAATAAACGTCCCGCTAAAAATATTCCCTATGGTCGCAAATCACGGACGATCTGGCGGCACACAGTGCGCTTCACAACTGTCAGCGCAGCCGTAATTTAAAATCCAGTCCAGCAGCACTGCGTTGGCTATCAAACGGCCTGCTTTTCTTATTTCTTCCGTACCAAAGTACAGCACGGCAAAGTAAATAAAATATCGGTGGCCGCTTTTTCTGCAAAGAGAGCACTCAAGCGCAATTATTTCGCCGCCACTATACCACTATGCTTTTATTATTACTGAATATATGTGTATATAAAAGCAGCAGCACATCAATTGAACTCTCGCATAAATTCTCTGGTGCGCACGGTAGCGAGGTAGGACTGGTTCCAATAAATCGCCGGCCAGCTTTTAAAGAAGAAGCCACAGCTATACTCTTATCGGTCTGTGGCCTCGGTGCTTTTTGTTTGATTAATTGGAGCTTTTAATTGTGGGACGTTTTCCGATTTGTGCAATTGCCGGGCGGGAAGAACGTGACGCATGCAAATGATGAGAATTCCCGACGAGACGGTTGCTCTTTGCACAAAAAGCAGAAGGCGTTCCTTTCAATATTGGAACTGCGCGAGGGGAGATTTGAATTGCATGGGGTAGGCAACCCGCGCAACATTGGAGTCCAGCACATTGTCTAGTTTAGTCTAGGGGGTTCTTTTCCATCTTCATAAAAATACGGTAATAGAGATTTAATTTTAAAATAACATTATTATACTTTAAATAATTTAGGATTTTTGTAATTAAATATATAAGTCAATTTCACACAGAAAGTTTTTTATTTGTATTATTGATTTTTTTTATAGGGTCAGGCCAAGACAAAGTCTTGTCGGCCTGTGCCCTTTATTGGTGGTGCAGAAGGCACCACCCAATTTTTTTTTTTTCGTTTCAATTAAAAATTATAATAAATCAATATCAAGGAAATTGTTAAAATATTTTTAATTATTTCAATTAAATTGTTTTAACACGTTTGGTGTATTAATGTAGTGCTTTAATGGAAAAAAATCCAAGTTGGAAGAGATTGTCTGACATTTATCTATAACGATTTAAATATGGCAATCTTTGGTGATAATTAGTGCTAAATTAATCACTTATTTATTATTAATTCTTCATTCATATATTGGTGACTGGTGTAAAATTATTCAAAGGATATGAAAGAACTACAAAGAAAAATCCAGTTAGTCACTTGAGGGAGCGATTTTGTATCAAGAGAATGCTGGGCTCGCATTCCTAGAAGCGATTTTCGTGCGCTTATTTGTACAGGATAAAAGAACTGACAGCGGCTCGGCGCGCAGCTCTAGCGTTGCTCATAATAAAGTCACTGGCTGACATTAAGTCAGTCTTCTCATTTTTTATCGGCGTCGACCTTTCGGGGGCCGGCAGTGTTTTGATCGGCTTTGTCTGCGGATGAATGTTACACTATTTATTAGCCAGCACCCGCTTGCTTGTTCGCCCGCTCACTTTCTAATTGAAAAATGGACCGATTCAGCTGCCACTTTTATTTCACTCGATGGGCCGCTACTGAATGTTGTAAATGCACGGACAATACAAACTCCTTGTGGGTGTAAGTGAGCAGCTTTTCAGTCCGCGAGAACGTCATTATTGTTAAGGTGGGCCGACCTTTTTTCAGGCCGCCGGTGGCACATTGAATGAAAGAAATGGTCCATTAAGCACACCATTTGGCAAGGTCACTGAACGAGTCCACACATACAATGGAGACATTTTTCATCAATTTTTCAAGGTGTGCCATTTAAAATTATACTGTTTGTCAATTAAATCATAGAAATTAATATTAATTAAAATACATAGACTTAAAAATTGTGTGGTGGGGATTATGTGAAATAAAATTTAAAATAAATTTAATTCAAAAAATAAATGAGTTATTTAGAGTGTCTTACAATTAGAAGAATTTAGATGATTTATTTATTATAAATTTTTTAATAATTGTAATATTATTTTGTATTTTTAATTGATATATTATTTTAACTTTTAAATTTTTTAACTTTTTAAGGTGCATTTAATTTATCAATAGTTTTCGCATGTGACTAAAATAAATAAATTGTACCTACTCCACTATAAAGTTATTTACAGAGGCAAAAAAAGTTACTGTTCGACATTGATTCTGCTTTTGATTTACCGGAAATATGCAATTTATGTACATCAATGATCAATTCACTTATCACTTCAAAAAGGCAAATTTGGAGACTCAGTTCCATTGTTGAAACACTAAATAAAATTAGCTGTTCATTGTAATTGCACTATCATCGTGAACTAGCAATATTAATATGCTTGATTGCACAAAGATAGTCAAAAGTTATTTTGCAAATATTTGAGGGAAAGAAACATTCCATTTTTCAGAGGGGAAAAGTGCCAATAAAGTGGCCTTTTCCACGAATGTCAACGGCACGTTTTGTTCTCCACTCCAAAAGCTTAAAGAGTTTTGAATTAATTAAGCTTCTCCTCCGCCTTTTGCCTCCCCCGTTGGTTTTTTGTTCCGAGTCAAAATGGGTCACCAAAGCTCTGTGCCCTTTCTTTGTTCCTCGGCGCTGCAGGTAAATAAACGTATATAATATCGTCGGCCCGCGGCAATTCAATTCATTCACGTGTGTGTGTCTCCGAAAAGAAAGAAAGATTTCATCTCCCTGTTGGAAAAGAAACGACGTTATATTATACATCTCGCAGCGAAATCTGCACCACGTAAAAATATGCGTTGGTACAAAAAATGAAAAGAATAGGGAGGAAGGGAAAAAATCCACCCGTTTTCTTAACGACCGCGTGTCGAATTAATTTGCGAGCGCAATAAAATATTTATGGAACACACGCTTCTTCATTTCAGACGGAGACCTTAAATAATAATTTTTATGGAGCAATCAGCAGCAAGATGTAATTACAATAGTATACGACTCGCTTTTTATTATTCATGGCCGACGAATAGCAATTTTGACGCTGGCTGGAGAGACGCACTTGCCGCCTCAGGCATTAGCATGCTAATTGCTGTATTATGCTAAATTAATTAGCGGCTCCTCTACACAGACACCTGCTCGGCCAGACTGAAAAAAAAAACGCGATTGGTTTTGTTCGAATTCTATTTATTCCTGAATTAATTGTATATTACTGGAATTTCAACTCTCCTCTCTGCGAATAATTGAAAAGAAGAGATTCACAAAGGGGCATGCATACTTAAAGTCCAATTCAGATGCTGAGATTGTATACAAATACATGGGCGCAGCACGACTCTTCTTTCTCTACACTGAATTATGCAAGATGAGATTCGCGCGGCGGGGAGTTGTTTTTATCCCGCGCGCTTGCATGCTTCTTTTGACATCCGTGCGGCTCTGATTTTAGCAGACAGATATATAATTCGCGAGCCAGACAGTCGATTTGGCAAATGAACTTGTCAACACTCTTCCCTCTCGTTTTATTGCCTCGCTCCGATAGATAAATTCGTACAAACCGATCGTGCCTCGGTCGATCGGCCAGTCGGAGAATAAAATACACACCAAGAGGATAACGACCGATTTGAGCGCAGCATCACGCTGTTTTACGATAATTAAACGAGATAAAATTGGGTGTTCGATACTTGCTACAAGCGCAAATTTTGCATCGAGACCGGCAAACAGAACCATTAAAACACAAACAAATATTTTGCTATAGGTTTGAGAATAAATTGATTATTCATCTTAATTTCATTTAAATTGCTCGCAATATTTTGAATGAAAGATTTTTTAAGGCCATCTACGTTATTATTAGAATTTATAAATTGGAAAAATCTAGATAATATTTCAAATTTTCTCTTTGGTTAGAAAACAAGAAAATATTTCATCTGTGTAAATATTTACAAATTTAAATCTTTTATTGCTGGATCGGCTATTGTGGAAATATCCAGGGTCAAATTCAGAGCACAAAGGCCAGAGAAATGTTTCAAATTCAACGTTTGACTTCTTTGAAACTCAAGGATGAATTCAATTCATACGTTATTGCTTCTTTCAA